TAACTTCATATATTTATGCTTTATTATCTTCTTCTATTGTGTTTTTTATTGTTAGCCATGTTCAGCTCTTTGTTAGCAGCTGATTTGAAGCCTTCTAAAACTAAACACACAGCTGATGATAATGATTAACCAGTAACTGGATGTAATTTCATTGCTGTAATGCTCCCATCGTCCACTAGAGGGTGCTGCTGTTCGTTCTCCTTCCCAGCCTCGCTGGTATTTACCTGGCAGCTGATGCCAGAATGGATCCAGAGTCCAGACCTGGATGTTTTATACTGTTTAATAGCGACTAGGAGGCAGAATTAAATTTATACGGTTCAGTTTTTAAATATAAATCTCCTAAATGGGCCCATTTAGCGGCGCTGCATGGAGGAGCAGCAGAGGATGGTAGAACAGAATTCCCGCAGGTCATTAAAGACCATTACAAGACATCAAATTATTACTTTCTGAATTAAGGCCTTAATATTCATTAAATATTATTTTAATTAACAGAGCATTAAAAAACAGTAAATTAGAGTTAATCATTCTGTATAAAACGTTATGCTAAATGTTTGGAACGCGATAGAAGAAGACTGCTAGCTGTAACTTTAAAGACCGTCCTTTTAAGGCAGCCTTATAGGTGACTTTGCATCAAACATAAAATGTTCATACATGTAGTTTTATATCATTAAAATATTAATAATGATTGTGGAACCAGAGGCTTTCTTTACTGTGATCGGATTACAGTGGAAACAGAAAAACGCTGGTAGGTGGATGATTGGCTGACAGGATGTCGCAGTTTCACATCCTACCCACCTGCTGATGACGGATGCGTTACAGGCGGGTTTAGACTGAACTAGTTACTGTGGTCGGAAAATTAACATTTGTCTTATTTCACATATTGATCTATTCTATTTAATGCCTGAGGGGGGAGTGTTTGCAGAGAAGACATATTTATTACCATAACAAGGTGGAACCTTTCTCAAGGTTTGTTACAGTTTAATCAAAGTGTCTTTAGTTTGTTTGGACTCTGATTAATTTCCATTATTGTGAGTAACGAGAAACGAACGCTGCTCAGGCAGAACAGGACTGATTACCAGGCAGGAACCATGAACCGTTCTCTATGTGCAAAGATAAAAATAAAGAGTGAAATCCATCCATCTCAGGTTATAACCGGACTGCACAAACGTTTCACACCAATATTGTCTGATTTCATAAAAGTGTGTGTGTGTGTTTGACCTTTGACCTTTTCATTAATATCTTCAAAGCAAAAGCAAAAGAAATGGAGTCGAGTTAATTGATACACATTTCATCTGACCTTTGACCTCTAGAAACATTAGTTTTATACCTTTAAAACGATAGCGGCACAAACGTTTGACACCGATAACTTCACTCAGGTGTTATTTAATGATTTATCAACCTGATGACAAGTTGATGTTGTAAGCTGTTGGTGGGTGGGGGCCGTTAACTGTCATGGTTTTGGTTCTGTTATGCTTTACTTTGCTCCTTGTTTTCTAGTTTTTATTGGTTTAATTCCTATTTTGTTGTAATTTCTAGATTTATGTTAGTTCTCGTGTTGTCCTCTGCTGCCCTCTTGTGTGTTCCTTTCCCCTTGTCTCCCTCCTTGTCTCCTCTCACACCTGCTCCTCGTCAGCTCGTTAGCCCTCCCTTTGTCTCTGGCAGCTATCTATGCTCTCCCTCTGCAGTCACTCCTGGTTGGTTCCTTGTTGTTGCTGGTCCTGTCTTCGCCGTTGTCCTCTCACCTCGTCTCTCCCTGGCTCCTTCTGCGTGTTTCCCTTGATGTTTCCGTTGTTCTGGTCTGTTATATTTTAGTTGGATTTTTGGACTGCCTTTGTTAACCAATTTATTCATTAAATCTACTAGTATTCACCTCAGCCTCTGCATTTGGGTCCTCCAAACCTCAACCAAGACGTGACGGTTTATAGCAGCTGTTATGTGGTAACTTGATGGTAACTACCCACCAAAAGTCTCCTTTGTTACATAATAACATACAACTGTAATAATTACAACCTTTTCTTGTCACCAATGACTATAGTGTGACCTGCTATGCTATTACCCGGTTATTACCATGTTATTACCAGGT